GTCATGTTTTGATGGTGTCCCGATCATGTGATGGTGGCGCGGTCATGTTGTGATGGTGTCCCGATCATGTTTTGATTGTGTCCCAGTCATGTTGTGATGGTGTCCCGGTCCTGTTTTGATGGTGTCCCGGTCATGTTGTGATGGTGTCCCGGTCATGTTTTGATGGTGTCCTGGTCGTGTTGTGACGGTGTCCCGGTCATGTTTTGATGGTGTCCCGGTCCTGTTGCGATGGTGTCCTGGTCATGTTTTGGCGGTGTGCCGGTTATGTTTTGATGGTGTCCGGGTCATGTGACGGTGTCCCGGTCATGTTGTGATGGTGTCCTGGTCATCTTGTGATGGTTTTCCCGTCATGTCATGTTGGTGTCTTTGTGATGGTGTCCCGGTCATGTTGTGATTGTGTCCCAGTCATGTTGTGACGGTGTCCCAGTCATGTTGCGATGGTGTCTCGCTTATGTTGTGACGGTGTCCCGGTCATGTTGTGATGGTGTCCTGGTCATGTTTTGGCGGTGTGCCGGTTATATTTTGATGGTGTCCGGGTCATGTGACGGTGTCCCGGTCATGTTGTGATAGTGTCCCGGTCATGTTGTGATGGTGTCCCCGTCATGTCATGCTGGTGTCCCGGTCACCTTGTGATGGTGTCCCGGTTATGTTGTGATGGTGTCCCAATCATGTTGTGACGGTGTCTCGGTCATGTTTTGATGGTGCCCTGGTCATTTTGTGATGGTGTCCCGGTTATGTGATGATGGTGTCCAAGGAAGAGATGGTCGATGTGTTGAAAACAGCAGCTGTTTCCAGATTGTTCTTTTTGTCCCAGTTTGTATCTTGCTATTGGGGTCTCCAGCTGGGCTAATTTTCGTTGCGCAGAATGACCAACATTAAGGCAGGTCTAAACTTTGGAGCTTTGAGGGACACGTGAAAGACCATGGAAGCTCACAAACATGACAGAACAAGGACATTGAATCTGACATTTCGAAAGAGCAGTTTGCTTCTGTCGGTGGTTTGATATGGTTTGGATGTTAGAACAAGGTTATCAGGGAGGCTCACAGGGGCCCCATTCTTTTCATCCCACTTCTGTGGCGGAGGTGCAACCACCCCAGCAGCCGGCAGCGCAGGTGGGGAGAAGGTCTCTTTGAATGTAGATGCAAGCACAGACTTCGTAAGTGGGGAATATCAGGGGGGGCGAAAGGAAACCATGCCATCACAATTACGGGTGATATCCCAGTAGCTGACCATAGCACAGATGTGCTTGTCTTTTAAGTACATCTCCACTTGTGATGTGAGATGGCATGAGATGGTGCCTGGAACATCCTCTAGGGAGGAATTTCCCCTGCAGATACACTGTGTACACATGTGACAGTGACAGAGTTATATGTATATATATATATAGTATCTTTCGATGAGACACATGGCAGTGGCACCACACGTGGTTGGCGAGTACTGCACGACATAATTTCATGATCCACCTACAACAACAATCATTGCAGCATGCGATGACATGGGATCTGCCCAAATATGTGGGCACCCGGAACCAGCGACGTTGTGACGGATCGTCATCATGCCCCACAGCAAACCACGTGCGTCACGTATGCCCGAGCGGACGGTGAGGCCGGCACTCAATGGGTGGACAATCCAACACCGCCGCCGGTTCAAGACATGGTGGCTTGAGGGTGAGTTTCGATCGGTTGAGGGTTGAAGAACAAACAATCAAGGCCAAGGCTTTTTGCTTGTCATGGGCCGCAAGCGCTCTTAATAGAACCTGAGTGTGCTAAGAGTTCATTGAGAAGCTTAGCTGTGGGGAAAAAAAAGACTGCAATTTGCGCCTTTGTGGGAGCGGTCACCCCAAGATCCGTGGCTGTGGCCCACCTCCCTCTGGCCTTGATCTATACATACCATGATACATGCTGCAATCTGTCTATAAAGTCTGTGGGATCTATTTTTAGTGATTTCTATACATGGTGTGCATGCCGATAGTCAGAATTTAGTCGGTAATTTCAAAAGAACACACCTTTCACATTCCATTCAGCGATCCTTGGACTGATGGTTTGGGATGACATGGCTAGTCAAGTGGTTGCCAAGGTGTTCCGTTCGGGGTGTTGTGAGTTTTGGGATCATGTTATCCCCTGCAACCCTTCACACCAAAATAATTTCTACTGTATCTATATTATCAGCAATCTTCCTCGGCTGTAGATTATTTGTAGTATATATTTATTTTTGCCAGTGAGCCACCGCGCCGACTTCATGATTGGAACCAATTGCTTAGCCAGGTTTACCAGTGGGTGGACAATCCATCCTTTGGACGTTCTGCTGCCACGCCACATCAGCCGCCTTATGTGCAGGCAGGGGTGTGGATCGGGAGGACGGATTGAAAGGCAGTTATTGCAGTGCTGGTAGTTTAGGAGCAAATGCAACATGCTGCATTATGTGTTTTTTTTGCGGTTCTTGAGCATAATAGTTCACAGGCAAAACGCAATGCATTTAGTTGAAAGTCAGAATTATACAGAGGGACCAATTGGGACCACGATGGACCACGTATCCTTTCATCCTTTCTGAAAGCCTTGCTTTCTCCAATCCATTCCTAAGAAAACATGGTTCGATTAACCACATGCCTCCAGCCAGACATTCTTGCCATCCGGAATCGTAGTTCTTCAGCGGTAGATATTCCTCCCTTTGATGGAGTGGACAACACATCCAGAGATTGGACCATGGATGGCCGTCGTGCGCAACCTTGTGGTCTTGCTTTGGAGATAGTAGGTTTGTGGTTTGCTTTTCGCTCGCAAGAACCAGCTGATTCTAACATCAACAGCTGTTTGGCTGTTTGTTTTGCGGCGGCTATTTTTGCTCCATTGGAGTATGGGCCTGGGTAAGGCTTTTGATATCTTGTTATTTTTACATCGCCACTGGTGGGCCGATCATCCCTTGCATGAATCGACAGGCAGCACCCGCCAATCCCTACTACCCAGGCCGCTTTGGCCGTTCCGGATGTGGGGCAAAAGGGGAAGAGGATTGGCTCCAGAATGGTGGGGAAACAGCATGGCAGCAGGTTACAAGCTGGTCACATTTGAGTTCTGGTTGTACTACACAGTTAGAAATGAATCGGGACCTCCCGGTCCATTCTTTGGAAGGAATCATGGCACATGAGTGGGAACAGAAAGAGGTCGAAGAAGTGTGAAGAATACGAACGCATCCAACAAGGCCAAGCATCGACCTGAGAGTCTGAAGGTCTCCACTAGTCCTTCCCATGAACTCATGGAGTGTCTACCTTCTTTTCTTTTTGGAGGGGGATGGTACCCTCCCACACGACGTGGGGTCACTAAAATGTATCACTGAATTGCTCCAAACACTGCGATGGACTAACCTGCCCTGACGGATGCTCCTGCGCTGTGAGGTGCAGACCCTTATGGGGCCCTGCCACGTCCAGCGGACCCTGGGAGATGTCGTGCGTAGTTGTGTGGTGCTTGGGGACAGGTGAGAGATGTCTTTCAAGCAGGTGATGCAGCATCAAACAATGAGGGGTCGTTCAAACCAAGCATCACCAAGAAGGAGATCACCTGAAGGCAATGAGGTCCTCATGCACATCACAGCAAGGTCAGTCTCCAAAGGCAACGCATCTTTGTGCTGCGCGTTGTTCCGGCGATTCCAGGATCACATGGGACTTCCTTCAATCGACCCACTGAGACCTCCAGTGCAGGCGGCAGAGGGTGCTCAAACCAGTGCGGATTCATAAGTTCTTTTGATTAGGAGACGTATTTTTGCTTCAAAGATTTTTGGCAAGGCCGGCCGGATACATTCTTTTTTTCCCCAAACAGTTTACTGTTAGGGGTTCTCAATTCTTTCTTAAGAT